CCTTATGTTAAGATAGTTTCAATTTGAGTTCAACTTAAACATGAAATAAAATGTTTGACTAAAGACAACCAACACACAATTTAGGATTAGAACTCCAATCATTCAACAAAAATGCTAATATGATTTCCATGCCTTTCATTTCAATAATAAACAGCATTAAAGTCGGATCAACTAAAAAATTTCCACCACCGAGATATCCTTTTGTTGAAAGGGAATGTAGTTTCTTGCCAACCAAATATACCAAGTTGCAATGTAGAATATATATGACTAAACCTCTGAATCTATTATTGATTCCATAGTAATGCTAGTGAAATTGTTATCGAATGTCACTCAGCAAATAGTAGAAACAACCCCTCCAATCCATGCATCTCTCCCAAACCTACTTTGCAACTAGAAATTTGAGCATGAGGTGGTTGACATCCTTTTGTTCTAACTTCCATATCAAACACATTAAATCCTGGCCATTTAGATTGACTCCTCTACAGGACTAGATGCAGTTTAGATGGAGAATCGTTGAGAAACATCCTCCGAGTGAAGAATTTAACTCTTCTAAAAATATATTTATGCCATAAAATCTTGCAAAACGAAGGATCTTGAACGCATAACCCAATATCTAGAGCCGTGTAAGCTTCCAATATTGAATATAAGCCATCCTTATTCCATGCCCAAACTCTCTCATCCTTAACTTCCTCTTTCAAACAAACTGAATCTTTATTTCTTCCTCTCGAATTTTATTTGTTGGTTGTCTTCTCCACTCCAAGTTTCACACCCATACTCCATCCTTTCAAAAACCCAAGTGCCTTACCCTTGACAACTTTTTAGCCAATTTACTGTCTATAACCTATTTATCCTCCATGATTTAATCCTCTAACCATCCCCCACTTTCCATTTAAAACTCTTGGAAAGAACATTTTCCATTTCACCACTTTGCTTTCTTAAAGATACTATATCCCTATAGAATTTGGTTACTCTGATAGTTTTTACACTTCCCACATTCATTTATGCTGTTCAAAAAAAAAAAAAAAAGCTACGAATTATTAGTAATAGTTCAATTGATAATAATCACTCAAGTCTCTAGTGGGTTACGAAGTTCGATATTCCTAACAGACATTAAGCAAGGTGTATCAAGCACTTAATCAGAAAAAAAAATAAAAAAATCAAATGTTTTATTTGGAGAAACGAAAAATTCAAGGGATGCCTATTTGTTGACTGGGCTTGAGCCTTAAGACATGAATATGGCTTATGAGCATATTGGGCTCTCTACCCCCCACCGCGGGAGGCTCGCTACCCACTTTAGGCTTTCGGCAAAGATCTGCAGTCAGCCCAGCATTTATAGTTTCCGCAATAATACATACATACACTAAACAAATAATTAGTGGAGATCATCTCATATTAGTTGCGTTTTGAAGTCTTATGGGACTCTTTTTTGCTAAGTTTTATATACTTAAAATATGCAATAACTATTTTTGTTCAAAAATTAAAAAAACAATATCAGTTTCACCCAAAAAAAAAAAAAAAAACAATTTCAGTTTCCCCTGTTCCCAAAATAATGGGATACAAAGAGTTCTGAAATTTTGCCGGAGACCGAAAAAGAAAGAAAAAAACATGGAGTTTCTAAATAAGACAGCATCTAAATCCATCCTAATGTTTCCAGTGGCTGTCTGTCTCGAATATGGGTTTGATCCAGAAAAAGAAAAATAAGAAATAAAAAATAAAGAATATGGTTTGGATTCGGAAAAATTAAAAGAGGATTATGAACCTTTGGATCTTGGCTGTATTATTCCAAGTGTTTTGTGGTTTCAATCTCTTTTGTTGTCGTGGATGTGTGGAACCTAGAAGTGATTTATGTAATAAGGGCAATGTTATAAGTACAATACAATATTATATTGTATATTACTTCATTTAATTTTAATCGATTTAGTTTTTAATTTGAGGTATTTAAATTTAATTAATTATTTTTTTAAATGTTATTTAATAT